AGGTTGTACTTGTGTGTTTCATGCAACCTTTGGATATTAATTTGGATATTTTCTATAGGAACTCCCTCAGACACACACATCTGTTTCATACTTTGCATTCTGACGGTGTGATGTTGAGGCGGTCGGGGCCGAAGGTGTGGTCCCACAGGTGGAGCATGTCGTCCCAGCAGCGCACCATGCCGTTCTCCATGGGGTAGGACACCTCCAGCATGGAGCGACACTCGCTGGCCTCGTCCCCCACCATCAGGTCCTGGAGGGAGAGATCGGGAGGTTTTTAGCCTTTGTGGAGTCAGACTTTGTTTGCTTTATATAAGGACACATGAATTTATCTTCAAACAGAGTTCAGGACTGGAAATGTTTGTTTTTTCTCTTATGTTATGGGGTCATGTACTGTATGGTTTACCACTGGAACAGTTTGGTTTTTGTCTTTTTTGTTTGGATTAATTCGTCAAACAAAGCAACACAAGAACCAATTTGATATATAGTTTAGAATATATCAACATATTTTTCATTTAAAAAAAGCATCATGTTGTGTGATGTCTCTTGAATGCATCAAGGTTTGTTCCCTTCACACAAGCAGCCACTCANGAGGGTTACAGGGGGATGGAGCCTTTCTCAGGGGGAAGAGGAATCTAACAGCGAGGCAGACAACCATCACATTCACACTGATGAACAGCTTAGAATCACCAGTTAGCCCACCATGCATGTTTTTTAGACTGTAGGAAGAAAACCCACACAGGAGCAGGGATAACACACAAACTCCACACAGAAAGACTTCCAGCAGGTTAGAATCCCAGAAGCTTCTTGCTATTTGTACACTAAATATGAAGTTACAGTCAGCATCTGGTCAGCTTGGCTTAGTTTATGACTGTAAGAAAGGTCTCAGCTGTGTGAAACAGGATTTTTGCAGTTGACATTTCCACGTGTATACCTGTATTGCATCTGTAGCACAGGGGAATGTGTGATCCAAAGTGTTTACACGGCTCACAAGGCTTTTAAAAGTCTACAGCTGACAATGTACCTGAAATGATCTGCCATGATATTGTGGGTTTAAGCTCCAGCTTATCCGGGACTTCAAGAAGTTGCGAATCACTAAGCCGCTAGGAATCAACCACAAGCTCTTTCTACGAATCAAACTGTCACAAAACCTGTGTTATGTCTTTCAAATTGTGCAAAAGACACATAAACAAGGCGATAATCCATCCAAAGAGGTCAGACATTACATTACAGTACATTAATTATACTGATGGCGATGCGCGCTGAGCAGCATCACTTTGTCCTACATCTGTGACTCCGGCAGGTTGGATAGAATGAGCAACAATGGCCCATATCTGATTCAGAATTGATCTCAGATGCTGCTGCCACAGCTGCTGCTGCTGCTGCTGCTGTTCGGGAAGTTGAGGATCGCGTTTGAATGCTCTCGAGGTCAAGAAAAAAAGTGTAGATGTTCCAGCGGGTCAAACACCTAAAGTGAGACAACACACCTGGATTTCCCTTCTTTGCGTGCAAACACGTTTCAAATTCATTTGAGGGGATTAGTTTTTAGACATTTTTAGAGGTAATCCGCTGATCTGGGGCCACCAGCTTACGCCTGGATGAACACACACACACTTTTTATCCACACTCTCCTATTATCACCCTCCTGGCCCCAGATTGGTACAACGGTCCACCAGATGCCATGGAAAAAAGGCATTGTCATCCACAACGTTTCTGTCTCGTCACGTGGTGCCTCTCCTGGCTTCAAATAGCCGATCTAACTCACCCGGCAGCCAGATTTTCCACTGACACAGGCGGGGATCAGTGAGCCAAGTGCTATGAAGAAGTGGGCGGTCAGATAACATGAAATTTATTGAGCTGCATCTACCCATCGAAGCAGGCAAACACAATATGCACACGGACAGCGAGGAGCTCAGTGACTCTGTAAGTTTTGATGATGGGAGACCTGTTGATTGTAATTGCTACTGTGTGTGTGTGTGTGTGTGTGTGTGTGTGTGTGTTTTACTTCTTTTTTTTTAAAGAGCCTTTGTGGCCACTTGTGCATCTGTGTGTGTGCTTTGGGGGAGGTAGTTGTGTGTGCAGGTAGGACTGCTGGTGTGTGTGTGTGTGTGTGTTTGTGTTTGTGTGTGGCAAAGAAGAGGATTCTCTCTGGTTCCTCAAGGTTGGATGTTTGGTAAAAGGATTTAGTCCAGTATGTTTTCATTGTGTGTGTGTGCTTTACAGAGAGCTGTGAGGGCGTCTGTAGGTGGCTGAATCTGACATTATATAATGGCTTAAGTGTTTGAAAAGTGGCAATTGTTGATACCGACTCGTTAGATTTGTGTTTGATCGCTTTTTGCTCTTCTGGAAATGTCAAAAAGTTTCTGTTTGGACTAAAGTGCACGAGAGAGAAAACTTCAGCAGCAGCAGCAGCACCACAGTAGACTGAGCCCAATGGAGGAGATTTGATGAGTTTGGACGCAGACTTGCTGTAATGGATTAAAGCTGGGACTTTGTCAATGAAGCTGTAACATGCAACAGAGAAAAGAGCAATATCAGGAAGATGATTTTCATATAAAACTCTTGGATCCGCTGCCTGTGTGTGGGAAGAAGAAGCTTTGTTTTAGAGGCAATTTCTTTTATAAACATCAATTTGGCTCATTTATTGTAGCGGATTATCAGCCTGTGTGCTCGCACAGTTTTCACTCCTCCTCTGGCTCCATCTCTCTCTCCTCCCCCTCTTTTGCCCTCACTCCATAAGCCTCTTGACCTCTGTTTTGCATGAATACAGTATATATTCACTCTTTTTTCTCTCTCTATCTCCTCCCCTCCCACCTCCCTCCCTCCCTCCTTGCAGAGGTGCGTTCGGATACTGTTCCAGGACGGGGAGCGGAGCGCTGTGCGGACGTTGCAGTGGAGAGCCGGGGAGACGAGCCAGGCCCTGGCACAGCTGTGTGCCTCCACCTTCGGAGTGTCCGACCCGCAGCAATACACCCTGTACTGGCGCAGCGGCGGCGAGATGAGGGCCCTGCCGCCTCAGGCCCAGCCCCAGGACCTGGCCAGCCACAGCGAGGGAGGCCCCTCGCTCTCCTACCTGAGGACCGACCACGACTTCAGCAAGATGCGGCGGCTCACCAGAGGTGGCGCCGTGGACCTGAGCGAGTCGGTGTGTGAGGAGTGAGTGGGAGGCAGGGAGGAAGGAGGGAGGAGGAGGAGGAGGAGGAGGAGGAGATGGATGGTCGCTCTCGCTTTCTCTCTCTTTCTCTCTCTTGTTCTGTCTCTTTCTCTCCGGCGGTGTGTTGTGTCTCGTCGTGGGTCAGGACTTGTTGTGAAAAACTACAGCCCTTCTCCAGACCAGGAGCAGACCTTGATCGGTAAACTCTTCCCTAAACGGACCAACATGCAGAGCAGAGCAGGACCAACATAGGGACTGTTGCCAAAAGTTGTACTATGTACCACTCAGTGTGGCTGCTAGTGTAAAGGAGTGTACTATTTGTGACATGGAAAATGTGTAATAAATGGAATTTGTTATTTGAAACATGAACCCAGAGTTATACCATGAAGGGATTACATCACTCAAACGTGAGGAGGCTCAAATCCAAAGACAAATTCTGTGAGACTACTGTTGCCTGGAAACAAAATCACTTCCTGAACGCACACGAGAAGGCAAATTGTCCACCGTGCTGATGTAACCCTTTCACAGTATAGTTCTGGGCAAAATCTAAAAGACACTTGGATGTTTTATTACTTCACTTGTGTGTGTAAAAGTCTGCAGATCTTTGGATGGAACTATGCTGTTAAAGGAGGGGACACGAGCCTTTCTGTGCCCCCTGGAATACAGTTTGTCAAAAAGGTGAGACGTGTTCTAGCCAAGACCAAACCTCAATACCAAAGTGACATAAAGAAACCGACTAAGAGGCCATTTTGATAGACAACAGGTGTTTACTTTGAAGGAAATCAGGTTTTTCAAGCTTGAGGGAAGCTTTAAATCAGCTGTTTATTTTTAGAATCACCCACAGAGACAATTTATTTTTACTTTTTTGAGAAAAAAAAAGCCTCTCCTCCTTGCTTTGCTATTTAATGGCGCTGGCAGGTGGAGTAATGGGCGAGTAGGAGGGAAGTGATAGAAAAGCATCAGCTCTCTGTTTTTAAAACCATGTGAGGAAGAAAAAGAAAAAGCACTTCACATCGACACACCGAGACAACCTGCAACAGATTTACTTAATGACTTGCGAATGTATTCAAATCTTTTTTCCGTGTCAGAGTTTTAATCCTTTCAGAACTGCATTCATTTCACGTTTCAACTCACCGCTTTTGAGTTCTACTGTTTCTCTTGGCCGAACTGTAAGATAACTTTGTGTTCTGAGCGGACTGAGAGGACAGTCTGACCAGTAAACCAGCACCTCACAGTGACTGGTAGAATGTAAATGTACACGTCACCAGCTTCTGGTGCCTCCTGCTGCAAGTCATCACTATCAACTGACTGTTCAAACTCAGTGTCATTATCGATTATCATATTGTGTATTTAAAAACTAACTTTTAATTGTTCAATTTGTTGGGTAGATATCAAACCTAAGTATGGATTTTCGACATATCTGGAGTTTTCAATCGGCCGAGGAGGTTCACTTTGGGAACTATGACGTGTTTTGGACATTATTGCATGCTTTTTCATTTAACGTGAAGGTTCTGCGAATGTGGTGTGTGTGTGCGTGAAGCATGTGTTCATTGTGAGAGCTCACTATTTCTTTTCAGTGTAAAAACACATTACTGTATTTTTGTCAGGTAACTCAGTATCGCAATAAAAAATGCAATATCTGTGTTGTTACATCCACTTTTGTACCACAGTGGGATTGTGAGTGTCTTAAATCAACCACTTGATGGCAGCAAATGCCAACGGCGTCATTTTAGTCACTTTCAGATTTGTTGTTTATTCTGCAGGAGCGTTTGGTTTCTTATCTTGGTAATTCTACGCATTTGATATTGGAAAATTTTAGGAATTAACACATTAATGACAGCACAGCATCTGCATGTATGTTAATCTTTATTCAAAAGCATGTTTAAAAAATGGCACTTATTTTAAAAATAATTATATGTGACTGACAGATATTCTCTAAAAACAAGAAATAACAGTATGTTGTAATAAAATTCACTTTTACAGTAGGATGAGAGGAATGACATCTACCCTAATGGGCAATATTTCACATTTTCTTTTTGTTAGTTCCAGTATATTTTTACACAAGAAAAGTTCAGGGCACTCTTTAAATTGGTAGAATGTGGAGGTAGAGTCACTCCAGAAGTTATTGAAAGTAAAATTTCACCCAAATATTGTCTTTTTTTTCCATCCTAAAGCCTTATCAGCATTGCCGAAACCTGAATCAAGACTCAATTTAAATATATATTTTAAAAGTTTCAATGTGAATCTGAGGTCTTCTCACCAAATCAGAAATATTGCAAAATAAATCACCTTTTACATCATCTATTTGTTGAACGTCACAAACAGGTGAATAGATTGAGATTTTAGGGCCAAAAAATTGCTTTTAATATGAATTTGGCAGATTTTTTTTTAGGTTAATCATCAAATCGATCAAAAAAAAATTCTTATCAATCAACTACTTTTTATTCAAAGAAAATGTTAGAATATCCAAAAATGTTTACTTTGGTACAATACAATTGATTAAAAACTGAAAAAGAAATCTCACATTTGAGGATATGTAACAATCTGTGTAGTATTTTTATTTGACAAAACTATATATAAAAAACATTTTAGCACTGACAGAGACGGAAAAGAGTCGATAAATTGACGTTTTTATCCAGAATGCGAGACTAAGAGGTGAGGAGTTGATAGTAAAGTTGAAGAAAAAAAAAAAATCAGATCTTTGAGTTTTTCGTCTGTATTTATTTGATCATGTTTTATTTCAGCGTATTTTATCTGACTCCACCTCCCAGCTTCTGCAGCACTCCCAGGCCTTTCTCCAGATACTCCTCTCTGCTCAGCCAGAAGGAGTCCTTGTCTTTCATGATGTTGGCCAGCACCGCGCCGCCCAGGAACACCATGTGTTTACGTCTGGGAGGGTCCTCAATTCGGATCTTAAACTTCTGCAGAGGCGAAGAATGAAAAAATGAGGGGAGGTCTTTAAAACACATTTCTACATGAACGCATTTTCTTGTTCATGTTGCTGCGTCACTGCAAGCAAATATTTGAGTTAACATAAATTACTAGAACAAAATGTTATGTTTTAGCTTTGGGTTTAACATTTGGGACCTTGGAGATGTTGAGACAGTTTGCATTTGGAAACAACAGTAACAGAACAACTACAGCTTCAGGTCCACTTAGTCGTTGATTAAACCCCTAAAAACTCATCTCTGTGCATCAAACCCCATTTATCTGCCTTGAAGTGGTTTAGATGTAACTTCACCCCAATGCTTCCTCCAGGATGTGCAGGTCTATTAAGTCCCTGCCTCTTTTTCCACCCAAAAGCTTCAAAACACTGAACTCGAGGTCTGAGACTATTTTGTCAGCCGTCATGCTTTTAGGTGCTGCAGGTGTCTGAGCATCTGTTTATTCAACCAACTGAGGAACCTCCATCTGCTAAAGAGGATCATAGGAGACGGCGAAAAGCTCCAAAACAAGCCCATAAGCGGACCTTAAGCTCAGGCTGTCAAATTAAGTTGTTACAAAAAGACCTGTTTAATAAATGTCATGTAACAATTATTAAATTAATGGAGTGAGTATTATGTGACATTAACTGATGACATTAACAGTGTTTGACATTTATGCAAAAGGTATTACAGAACCCTTGTGTAACACCTTATTTAACACCCTGGTGCTGCTCTCATACAAAACACAGACTGCTTTGTGCTGTTGTTCGATAAATGAAGACTCCTTTAGAAGTTCTTACGGATAGTTTCTGAGCGTCTCCATCGAGCACCCTCTCCAGGTAGAGCTGCTTGATCTCTCGTTCTAGTCTGGATGGAAGGCCGGGGTACATGGTGGACCCTCCTGACAGAACGATGTGCTTGTAGAAGTCGGCTCTGCACAAGAAAAACAAACAGCAGAGGTCTTCTGTCAGATAAAATAAGATGCTTGGTGTTGTGCAGCTTTTTCCCAGAGGGCAGGGAGGAGCTCAGACCTGAGGTCGATGTCTGCGGCCTGGATGGTGTTAAACAGCAGCTCGGCCACTCCGGCTCCCTCTATGTTGATGAGGTGAGGCTGGAAAAGAGCTTCAGGGGCCCCGAATCGCTCTCCGCCAACGTTCACCTGCCGGCCATCAGGGAGCTGCACCAGGGAGAGGAACCAAGTTTTAAATGGAGCTTTTTGCATTGTGAACACATGAGGCCTGTGGTTCCTAATCTGGAGAGGAGTACTCTACTTAATGTCACCAGATGGATGTGAGAGGCTGCAGGATGATTAAACAATTACTATGCAGTCTATGTAAAGGATTTTCCTGTTTTTTAAGTGGAGTAAAATGAAACTAGGATGCTGCTCCTCATCGCACCGTGTACGACTCCACCAGGTAGGTGGTTTCTATGGCGAGACGCTGCTCTTGTTCAATGTTGTATCCCACGTAGCAGAGCTTCTCCTTCAGCATCCGCACAGTCTCAAAGTCAGCAGTGTGGTTGAAGGCGTAACCGCGAAGGAGCAGGAGCTAACAGGAAGATAAAAAGTGTCTTGTCGAATCAAGAATTTAAAGAACAGTTTTTTTAATGTTCATTTTTACAGATGTAGTGAAATCGTTCTTGTATTTTCACATTTTGTCCAGTTATTCAGGCCCTACAACCCAAACACTGAGCTTTTCTCAGCTCACCTTAATGAGGTATCTCGTGATGTCCCGTCCTGCGATGTCCAGCCTTCGTGTGAGATGAGGCAAAGAGAAGCCCTCGTACACTGGACAGATGTGGGTGACGCCGTCTCCCGAGTCGACGACCACACCGGTAAGCAAACCTGCAGGTAAAACATTGATTAACACTTTCACTGTTCACTGAAGAAGAAAAAAAAATGTGTTGACTTAACATCAAAAAGTGCATCAGTTGCACATAAAGTTATGTTTAGTCAACATTATCTGTTCTCATTACGTAAGTTAGGTTTGTTAGACAAACATATTTTTTGCTTTTATGCTTTTCATTCACGGCAAGTATTTACAGATAAGATTTTTCTAAAATATTTAGTATTGATATGGAACAAAATGACAAATTTAATCTTAGACTACACTTATAAAGCTTATGAATCTTTACATAGCTTTAACAATAAATAAATATGAAGGCATATTGTGCATCCCTCTACTTGATCTAGCACAATCTACAACATTTATACGGTATAAAGGCAGTAAGATATAACGTTTAGATATAGTACGACAATACAGCATCTCATAAACATTCTATTAGAGTCACTTAACTGAGTGACTCTATACCCCAGAATACAAAGGATTTAGTCCACTACATATGAATCTGAATGTAAAATCAGCAGCTTGTCCCTGTCCTTACCCTGCGCGTACAGCGTGAGCACAGCCTGAATGGCCACATAGATGCCGTGGAACTGGTACTTCTCAAACATGACCTCTGCAATCTTCTCGCGGTTCTTGTTGGGGTTCATGGGCGGCTCGGTCAGCAGGATCTCAGGAAGACAAATCAACACATACAGCTCAGTAATATTCTATATTCTTTGTTTGTGCGATACTTATTTCAGGCAGGAAATGTTTGTGCTTGCAATTCTTTCAGATTACAGCAAAAAAAAAAAAGAAAACATCTTTCATATTGTTTAAAACAGACTCTTGCATATATTGTCTAACTTTTGCAATGTGTGTATGCAGTGATGTTGCATTGATTTTTCTTCATTGCAGTTGCTTCTGGAATCCTGCAGGATCTAATTTTCTGACAGGGTCCAGGTGGATGTAATGAAACTTTAATAATAAAAGTTATGTTTTACAGATCTTGTTGTGTTTATTATGAATGATTCTGTTTATTCATCAGTGCTGTTTTCCTTCTCACAACTTAAATGTGTCTCTGCAGGTTCATCTACGTATGACTCCTGCAAGATTTTTGGATGCGCATGTTTTTTTCAGGAATAAGATTTGGCCGTTAGGAATTCATAAACTCCTTAATGTTGCCGAGCTTCCATTCTAAGGTTGTACTTGTGTGTTTCATGCAACCTTTGGATATTAATTTGGATATTTTCTATAGGAACTCCCTCAGACACACACATCTGTTTCATACTTTGCATTCTGACGGTGTGATGTTGAGGCGGTCGGGGCCGAAGGTGTGGTCCCACAGGTGGAGCATGTCGTCCCAGCAGCGCACCATGCCGTTCTCCATGGGGTAGGACACCTCCAGCATGGAGCGACACTCGCTGGCCTCGTCCCCCACCATCAGGTCCTGGAGGGAGAGATCGGGAGGTTTTTAGCCTTTGTGGAGTCAGACTTTGTTTGCTTTATATGAGGACGTATGAATTTATCTTCAAACAGAGTTCAGGACTGGAAATGTTTGTTTTTTCTCTTATGTTATGGGGTCATGTACTGTATGGTTTACCACTGGAACAGTTTGGTTTTTGTCTTTTTTGTTTGGATTAGTCAAAAAAAAAGCAACACATGAACCAATTTGATATATAGTTTAGAATATATCAACATATTTTTCATTAAAAAAGCATCATATTGTGTGATGTCTCTTGAATGCATCAAGGTTTGTTCCCTTCACACAAGCAGCCACTCAGACTTGTGCACTGTACATTAAGAGGCAATTAAAACTCTGCAAAAAGTTCAATCTGCCACAAAATAATATTCATCAGTCTCTCTTACCTAACCTACTGGATGTTATCTAGTCTTTGTGTCAGTGTATTTTCCTTTCCTGCACCACAATCAGCCTTTGTGCAATCCTACAGGGATTAGGAGGCTAAAAGCTCTGAATGATCGGCATAATCTCAGGTTACATGACTGTATAACTTAACTGTGTCTTAGGAAGCCAACAGGTGTGAAGTTCTAAGACACTTTAATACTTACGAGGCGACAAGAGGCGGAAGGAGCAGGTGTTTAGTTCACTGAGCAGATCTTATAGTACGTTCCAGATCGTGCAGATAACTATGTCCCTTGCTTTGAACTGAATTCAGTTACGTTTGCATTTTGTTAGGAGAGGTTGTATGAAAGTTGGTGGCTCTATTTTAATGCTGCTTTTTGTTGTTGTTGTTTTTTAATCTGTTTATTTCTGCAAGACTGACTTCAACTGACAGGTTCGGTGAAAGACATTTTTATCTGATGTTAATCTCACCTTTATCTCAATGTTGCCCACTTTGGCGGTTGATCGGATGATCGGTCGACCCACCATGGCAGGGAAGATGTGATCAGGGAAGTTGGATCCAGCAAAGCCACACTTGACAAACTGGTCAGGGATGTGAAAATGAAACACGTGAAGATTTCTGTTGTGTTTGTGTGAGCAAAGTTCTTGTTTTCACATGAAACTGAAAATGTGTGTAGTTCCAATCATAAATCAGGTCCATTCATTTTAATCTAGGCTTAATCTGAACCCTGTAAACTGACCTAGAGTGCATTACTATGATGCATTTACCAGATTGTCTCTTATTTATCAGACAGTGCAATTGCAATTTCATCACACTTTTAGCTGAATGTAATACCGAGATATGGTATTACAGACTTTGAATGTCATGCACTTCACCACAGACTGTGCTTCTCTGTCTGTCATGACTACACCTCCTCCTATACTGTCTCAACATGTCTTTGTGGCCATAGACACATTCCTTAGCCTGGAGGGATGCACTGCATTCCAAACAGAGGCAAAAACCAGGCCAGTTGCTGACTGTAGGTATGCCTTTTCGCTGCATACCTTTCACAGAAATCAATATTTAAATGCTGCAGTACAATATTAACCAGCCACTCCTGAGATTTAAGCACCTCAAATCTCTCTTCCTGTTTTTCATCCAATGCGTGCTCAGTTCAAAGCATCACAGCCTTTTATGGCGGTGTGTGCAAACTAAAGGCAGGAGTGACAAGTCCAGACAGATGTGGAATCAGCCTGCATAATGCACATAGTCTCACACCCTGCACTACTTCAGATGTTTTTGCCACGAAATGATCCAAATGTCAACATGTCAGTTATAGAGCGTTTAAGCTGAAAATAAAAGATCTGTCAGCGATGTAACACACCTGGTGTAGGTTTGGAGCAAAATCTTTGTAAAGAATATGCAGTTTACATGAACAGAAGACAGCATTTTGAATTTGAGTGGAAATAAGAATAAAATACAATAACTACTGCTGTTGATCGGTTTCTATAGATAACAGCATTAATAAGCTCCTGCGTGGAACACTACTGACATTGTGGACTATGTGACTTACCCCTGTGCCATTGTCACACACCACCACCTTCCTCCCCTCGGTGTCCATGCTTGAACACTCAAACAGCTCACAATACTCCCAGCCCGACTTATAGAAAACCAGTTCAAGATGACTACATGTGAATTTAGCAGTGACTGCAACTGACAGGTAAGCAGGAACCTTCTTGCTACTCTTTTCAATGTGGGTGGGATCACTAAAACTGAGGACGCCCTTTTTCCTGTAGTCTGGGAGGAGCGAGAGCTGTTCTGCACTTTTTCATGAGTCATGCAAGTTAGAAATAAGGATGCAACATTTATACAGATGTTTTGGTTTCAGTGGACAAATCAGTTCTGCTCTCCAACAGTTTCCATCAAGGCAATAGTGGGTTTTCTCCCTTGATTTAAGAGAAGACGGCGTTAAAAGAAAGCATTTTATTCGGCTATTGAATGCAACCCAGCACACTACACTGTGCCCCTACTGTTTGGAACCTTTAAATACACAGAGTCAGTACAAGTCTGGATAAAAATAGGTTCATTTATTTACATAAAGCATTTACAAAATACACATTTTCATCGAAATGCAGAAATGTGTCATGAGAAATGATGGTTGTAAGAAAGACAGCAAACAGTAGGCCTTTGAGTGTGTCAGTGACACGAGGACATAATCACACCTGACTAGGTCTCACTGTTCTCAAATGTAAGAGGCACATTGAGTTAAGACCGATGACATTCTTTCTGATTCAGCTGTTCTGTGTCAGCTCCTGCAGGAATTCATCATCAGAGCAGCTCAGGAGCATTCACAGCAGCTCAGCAGACTTCAATCAGTAACCACGAGAGAAATGAACAGCTAAAAACAAAACAGTCGGTGTTTTAAGCAGCATGTGTGCATTGTTAATTTAATACAGTCTAAGCTTATTACATCGCATTGCATTGTAAGAGAGTGATGCCCTTAGTTCCGTTTTAAGGCAGTGAAACGTGTTAATTTGGTTTGTCGCTATGTTGACATGCACATTAGCATCTGATGACACTGAGTAACACGGTGGAGGGTGGAATTTACGTGGTTTGTTTGCAAGAATGTGTCACTAGCGCCCTCATAGATGTTGGCGCTAGTAAACGAGCAAACCACCACCGGTAGGCATACGTTTACTGTGCATAAGAATAAAACTGTACGTAATTATCCAACATTAATAGCATGAACACTGGATGAAACAAGACTTTGCATTGACATGATCAAATAAACTGAATGATTCTGTATATTTAATGTCAATTGATTTGATTGTACTGTATGTACTGTATGGATAAGCCAATTAAAGCAATTGGAGAGCACTTTCCCAGGTCCAATCAAATGATAATGTGCATGTTAACATATCCATATACAATAGCAGCCTACTCAAGGCATTGATCAATGTGTCCTCACGGTTCCCAGACAGATGTATGAAGCTTCCATACAAACTATTTTAAAAAAGGACCTATACCAAAACATTTACTGAAACCAGTATAAAAACTTAAATGTTTAATATTCACATTATCTAAACACCATTGGCATTATTTCTATAAAGACGTTTTTTTTCCTGAGAGTTGAAAATACAGTTGTTGATCTAGAAGTACCTGTGGATGTTTACTCCTCTACAGCGCTGAGTCACAGTCAGCACAAAACTAATACATACAACAGTCAAGGTCATGTGCCACGGTGCTTCTTTAAGTGCATATCTTTCCTTTACATTGTCCACTCACAGCCACGGGTGGCCTCGTCCTTGCCCTCCTCCCACTGAGAACATCTCAGCCACGCTCACAGTTCAAGTGTCTTTAAAACATGTCTGAGTGCGACGAGCAGACGCTGCAGGAAAACCAAGCGTCTGCCCGCCAAAGGAGTCTCTGATCTCAAGACTCGAACTCGCTGTCGCTACTGACGGAGATCTCTGGGGTGGACGCTCCCGTTCCTCTGCGCTCCGTCTCCGTGCTGCAGTCGCTGGCCTCCGGGCTGCCCAGGTTGCGAGGGGAGTTAGGCAGCAGGTGGGGGTGATGGTGGCGCTCCTGAAGTGAGCCGTCAGGTGAGCTTTCAGAGGGCAGGAGGGAAGAGTCCTGCTGCAGTCTGGGTGGAGGGAGAACGGAGAGAGATAAGAGTGAAGCCTCCTCATACGGATCTCTTTAGTTTTCCAAGCTCAAGGGGAAAACTTCCTTCAGTTTTGTCTTTTTAAATACAGCAAAGCATGACGCATATTAACATTATCCTCTCACGGCTGCTTCGTTTTATTAGTTGACCATTAAACAGCAGACCAGTTGAGTTTTTACTTTTTTTTTTTTGAGAAAATCCACTTCTAAGACAATGTTTGTAACTCTAACTTGAGCAAACGGGATACTTCTTTGTCTCTCTCTCTTCATCAACAGTACACAACAGTGCAGTCTTTGACATACCGGTTCTTTGCTGAAGCAGCGCGGTCTCTTTGCCGGCGGTTCTTGAACCAGTTACCGACTTGTGTGGGCGTGAGTCCTGTGGCCTGGGCCAAGTGGCGTTTCCTGGACGGGTTGGGGTAGGGATCTTGGAGATACCACTCTCTCAGCAAACTGCGAGTTCTTTCCTGGATGAAGAGTTAGAATTACAGGTAATATGAAGATTTAGGTGATGTTCAGTCCAAGTGTCTCATATGTCAACTGATATAATCTGGTTAAATGCTGATTATGCTCAGTATAATCGTATTAGACTGGATTTATAAATAGATGAACACAATCTACATTACAAGTATACATAACAATGTATATCCACTAAATTGGATCATGTTAAGGGGCTTAATGGGCTGCTGGTTGGAGGCCTCTCCAGGTTTGGAAGTAAAGATTATCTTATGAACAATGCTTGACCCCGCCACAAGAGGGGGATCACATATACAAATAAGTGGTGCTACTCAAGTTGTTAGGCAGCAAAATACAATCTGATTGCCTCCAGAATATCCACTTAAAATCTTATGACAACTAAATGTTTTATGTATTTTTTTCTCCATGACGATGGCCAAGGTGCTCTGCACATCAGGGCACTGCATTAATAATTTGTGACTAGACATAGTTTTGTAAAACAAGGCACTTTCTAACAGAAGATGTGTCGCTGTAACTGGATCATACAGTACATCTGTGCACGTTATGCATTGAAAACAGGTTCTTGTGCAGGGAATGAATTGACTGCACTAAATATAGGACAATAAATGAAGTTGAAGTCACAATTTTAACACAGACAAGAGCATATCTGACAAACAGGTGGGCATTTGTTAGTAAAAATACAAATGCAAGCTTCAGTTTCATATATGAGACAAATGTGAGACATAAAGCAGCTATAAAAGTACAAGTTTTGGCATCCTTGAGTCATACCATCACTGTCTCATTTTGTTTAACAGAATTTAAAACAGAGGTCCTTGTCAGTAAAGCTTGCCCTTGTGTGACTCCTGTGATCTTGCAGCAGGACACTGTGACTAAGGTCTTTAATAGACCTGATGGCAGACGGCAGAAGGATAACCGTGGCTCTGACCATTATCATCTTAAGAGCTCAAAGAGCAGGCTGCTGGGGACAGCAGTCAGGTTAAAAAGCACCTTGACAAGAGGGCGCCTGTGTCCAGTGTAGAATGCATGTTATAATGTGATGCCACGTTTCCATCAGAGCCAGATTTGAGATGTTTTGCCCAAACACTGATAACACGTGGAATGAACCAGACAGTGTCACCATCACTGTCACCAGCAGCCATGTGGGTCAAATTCTAACCCTAAAAGTTAGATTATTGTAGAGTATTCACCTTAAAGCAGTGTGTCTTCTGCTCGCCGTCCCAGATGGTGCGGGGCAGTGGGAACTTCTTGCGGATCCGGTACTTCTCCACTGGGCCCAGCGGCCGCCCTCGGAGTCTCTCCGCCTCCCGGTAGTGCGCGTCCAGCCACAGGTCCTGGAGTTTGGCGTGCGACTCGCGCGTAAACCTGTGGCTCTGGAGGATCTGGTAAAGAGCCTCAAAGTTTCCCCCGTGGAAGGCGACCAGCGCTCTCGCTCGCATTACGGACTCGTGTCGGTTGAGCGCCTCCCCCGCGGAGCCGGGAACGGCGGCGGGAAGGGACCAGAGGAACCGACCCAGGCGCTCGATATCCCCGGTCTCCTCCAAGTTCTCGCACACCCGAGCCACCTGGTCCGGCGTGAACATCGGCAGTGGGAACATCTCGCCTTGTTGCTTCGCGGTAGCTCAGCTGAGAAGTTGGGAGACGCTCACAAGCCGCATGAAGTGGTGTATCCGTGCGTAAAGTTCCGCGCGTCCGCTGCCTTTTTCAGAGATGCTTCAAGTTTATTGACACTTGCAGCTTCTATGTGCCGCCTCTCTTATGCAACCGAGTCTTTCCTGGTAGCCGGTTTGGGCAAATGTTTCAGAGAAGTGCAAAGGCGGTGGCGGTTCCAGGTTTAGAGGAGTAGCCCACAGACAAATGAAGAAAGAGGACAAGGAGTCAACCTGTATTTATAGCGAGATACAATTAGCATCTCTGTGGTTGTTTTGAGAAGGATTATACATCCCGACCATTAGCCTCTTAGTGGGGGGTAGTGTGTACAGAGGTGCCTGGCTGATCAGCTTGTTTGGCTTAGCCTGAGGATACATTGACTGCCAGGATGACTGCAGTGAGCAAACAAGTGAGGATAGGTTATTTAATAGGTCGGATCTGGTGGAGATGGAGCCCTGCCTCAGGAGCAGATGATATGGAAGGAGCAAATGTGGGCAGAAGGGCTGTGCTGTGGAAAATAGCTCAGAGTAGAGCACACACAAGTCTGGAACATGCCAGTAAAATGTCAACAAAAAGAGCAAGTTTATGATGTAGTTCTCCTGCATTTACTTAAAGATGAATTAAAAGTTTCCCTGCCATACTGGTGGATGGCACTGTTCAGTCTTGTTGGTCATGGAAACCTGCATCTAATGTGCCACAACCTTTGTCCAAGAGGACATGTTGGGACACAAAGCTGCAGATCCCCCACCAGCTAATACCCATGTAATTAAAACAGACATGGTTGCACACAGGCTATCCTCTGTGACCTCTTGTCAGGCCAAGACATAATGAAATCACCCCTGGACATCGATGTGTGGCAGAGCAACTCCAGGACACGGAATTAATGAGCTGCTACTCGTTCAATCCTTGTGATCTCAGTAGCTCATTAATCAGTCTAAAGACAATT